AAATTAAATTAAACTCGACAATAGTTAGACAAACAATGCAATTTCTTAAGACTGATCTTCCAATGTTTAATATATCCTGGTGAACTTGAGATAAAAGATACCACAGAGTCTGACACATCTGTTTCATGTTTGGATATTTTACTTGAAAAAGACGTTAATGGTAATCTAACAACCAAGCTTTATGATAAACGTGATGACTTTCACTTTTCAATCGTCAACTTCCCTTACTTACGCAACAATATACCTTCATCACCTGCATACGGGGTATATATCTCTCAGTTGATTCGATACGCAAGAGCATGCTCTAAGTATGTACAATTTCTAAAACGAGGTAAATTTTTGACAAATAAGTTGATGAAACAAGAATATCAGCTGTCTCGTTTAAAGTCATCATTTCGTAAGTTCTATGGTCGATACAATGACCTTGTCAGCAAATACAATTTATCATTGAGTCAAATGCTGACTGACGTTTTTCATACTAATTGTTGGGCCATTATTCACACACTGAATTGTCGACGGATTTTTCCGTTATTTCCCGATCATGACAAGGAGCACACGGCGGGTGTGACCGGTCGGCAGGGGATGCTCACTCCTCCATGGCACCTGATCCCACCTCTGATGTTTGGAGGTCCGTGTTTGCTCTGCTCCTATTTTGTATTGTTTTATGTACTTTTGAGCTTGAATACTGTTCGTTATCTCCATATATTTCATACTAAAGGTATATAAACATATTAAAAGTACAGATAAGAGAACAAGATCATCATTCACATGCATGCACGTGCGCGCGCATGCAAAAGGTGAAATGACTGATATATTTGATATAGCTGTAACTTTTTTTGGGATGAAATGCTTTGATACTCAGAATATAAAGATATATTAAAAGTGTAGACAACATGACTTGGTCATCATTTACATGCATTTTTTTTATTTAATGCTTTGATACCTAGTATATTAAAATATATGTATAGCATAGACAAAATAACATGGTCATCATGCATAGGCATGCACGTGCGCGCATGTGTAATGCGTAAAACGACCAATATACTTGATTGCCTTATTTAATGAAACTTACAGAGAAAAATCCACCAAAAGGGAGTTATGGACCGTTTGGGGAACATCTGTGGTAGAATCAGGTGCCTTGAGGAGTAAGCTTCCCCTGTTGACCGATTATAGCCGCCGTAAGCTATATGTATTGCACAGCTAGACGGAGTATCCGTAGTCTAATTCAGAATAAAACAATGACCTACATGTAAAAGATATGAAACATGTTAGACAAAATGCGACAGAACGATAAGTTGTATTTACCAACAAGATCGACAGATTTGCAGAAAACTGACTTTAACGGGGTCGTTGAAATCTTTCATACATAAACTTATTTGTCAGTAGCTTGTCTCGGTTAAGAAGGTGATGTTTGAGTATTGCTACTTAAGGAAGGCAAGTTGACGATGGAAAGGCTGAAGACATCAAGTAATACAATTTAGTTACTAGTTGATCATTATAGTCTATAGTTAGTAAAACATTCAAATTAGAAAGAGATGTGGAATACTCTATTGCCTTTTATTTTGAGTTACTGGGATATATTTAGTTGACATTTGAATGAAAGAAACTATTGTTCTAAAGAATTATTTTAATAGTTGCCGCTTTCTACGGCATAAGCTTGGTTGGATAAATTTACTTATAAACCCAAGTTATACCGTATCAACTGAATAGCTTTTCAACTCACTCCTTATAACTTAATTTCCAATCTTTTAGTTATAAAAATATAAGACCATTACACTTAAAAATTACTTCAAACCGCACAAAATTTAAATGTAATGTCATCGATTGCTTTTTTTTAATGCAAATCATTGTGACGTAGGCAACATAGTTTATAAACTATAAGGTAAATTTTCAAATTAAAAAATGTTGACCACTTTAGGAATGTTACCTTTGCAAAAGAATTACCTAAAAGTCACTTGAAAGATTCATTTGAAATGCTTATAACATTCTTGAAAACTACATAGGTCAACTGAAATATAGATTCTATAAATCAAAACAATGAAGTCACGTTTTAACGTCCTAATTTTGAATTCTTTTTAAGTATACCTGTATAATTTTGAAGACAACATTAAAGCGGCTTTGTCATTTTACGTTGAATATATCTGCTTATAATGCAATGACTATTCAAAATACCATTTTAGTATTTTTATCATATTTCTTCTGATTTACTAACATGCTAATTATTTTAATTAAATCCGAGAAATCGATGTTACAGTAGTGTACAATACGTATCAACTATCCAATAATTTTTCAGCAATCGTGTATGATATATAACAACTAGCCAATCAATTTTCACAATTGAAAAAAAAATCTCTTATATATCGTTTTTCTCAGCTAAAATAATTTTAACATTGATTTAATTTTCAGCTGAAATAATTTCAAAATTGATTTTAAAATGCATTAGTTTGTTTTAAACAAGTCAAGCAATATGAAGGATCTTTGGGTTATTTATTTGATTGATATTTTCTTCACGGTGTCTCAAGCTTTTAATTTTTCGCTGAATTATCACGCAGAATTAGAATTTGATAATGTAAAGTCAAATAACGAACTGTTAGCTGAGTACACGGCTCAGTCGTTGTGTCTGTGTTCTGTGCATGCAAAGTGTCATAAGGAGTACTGTTGCTTCTTTGGATATAACCGGATATTGAAGACGTGCCGTGTACATAAGAAGGTCTTCAGGTCTGAGAAATCTAAAGAACCCGGATGGAGATATTACTCTCATGATTGTGAGGTTTATTTTATTTTCTCATTTTCTGCTATAATCTTTGTGACAAATCACTTAATATAGTATATCAATGAAGATTGCAAAGGTAGCGGTTGAAGGAGAATTATAAATATCGGCATTTATTTTTTATGATTAATTTCCCAAGTAATTTTTATAATCATTAAATTGTCACAGTCTTATTATTTTTTTTATTTTTTTTAGCCAGTGATATTCTTTATGTGTGATATTTTCTGATATCCTTGATGCGTGATATTTTCTGATTCCAACACTGATTAAATCTAATATCCATCCACATCTTTTTTAATCTTCATGAGCAAATGTGCAATTTGGAGCAGAATTGCGATGAATAAGAAATAATATGCGAAACAAAATAATAAAAACAAAAATTGAAAGTAAAAAAGAACAGTCAACATTTTCACATTTGTATTGTTTAAAAGAGGATTTCCCTTGCTTTTCATTTTAAAAAATTACATGATATATCTCATAATATCTTATTGCAAGAAATGGTAGAAAATTCATAATCGATCTTGGGAGTAAACAATGAGATGAAATATGTGGAGATAACGAACAGTATTCAAGCTCAAAGTTCATTAAATATTACAAAATAAGAGCAGAGCAAACACGGATCTCTAAACCTTCAGAGGTGGGAGTAGGTGCCATGGAGGAGTGAGCATCCCCTGTCGACCGGTCACACCCGCCGTGTTTTCCTTGTCATGATCGGGAAATAACGGAAAAATTCAGTGTGTAAATAATGGCCTAACAAATAGTATGAAAAAAGTCAGCATTTGGCTTGATGATAAATTGTATTTGTTGACAAGGTTATTGTAGCGACCATACAACTTACGAAATGATGACTTTAAACGAAACCGTTGATATTTTTGTTTCATCAACTGTTTGTCAATAACTTACCTCGTTTTAAAAATTGTTCATACGTAGAGAATGCTCTGGCGTATCGAATCAACTGAGAGATATAAACCCCGTATGCAGGTGATAAGGGTATATTGCTGCGTAAGTAAGGGAAGTTGACGATTAAAAAGTTAAAGATGTAAAGATAAACGAATAACTATCATGCTCAAAAATAAAAAAAAAAACTACAATATGTGAGCACAGCAAACACAGTCTCCTAAATAACATCCACAATATTCAAGATCTCAGGCATCTCCTGTAGATTTGGTCAGACTTGTCGTAGATCTCGTCAGACCCGTAGTAGATCTGGTCAGACCTGTCGTAGATTTGGTCAGACCTGTCGTAGATCTGGTTAGACCTGTCGTAGATTTGGTCAGATCTTTCGTTGATTTGGTCAGACCTGTCGTAGATTTGGTCAGACCCGTAGAAGATCTGGTCAAGCCCGTAGTAGGTCAGACCTGTCGTAGAACTGGTAAGACCTGTCGTAGATTTGGTCAGACCTGTCGTAGATTTGGTCAGACACGTAGAAGATCTGGTCAGACCCGTAGTAGATTTGGTCAGACCCGTAGTAGATTTGGTCAGACCTGTCGTAGATTTGGTCAGACCCGTAGAAGATCTGGTCAGACCCGTAGTAGATTTGGTCAGACCTGTCGTAGATTTGGTCAGACCTGTCGTAGATCTAGTCAGACCTGTCGTAGATTTGATGAGACCTTCGTTTTGTAAAAAAAGAAGGCCTATTGTAACAATATGTCATAAAATACAAACATCCGACATAAGGACTTATATGGATTTATGTTTTCAACTACGTATATTTTAGGTAAAGAGCAAATCATTTAATCCAGAAATTAAAGTGCATCTTCCTTTAAATTCCTTATCCCATAGTTTTATAAGATATTTGACCACGGAATATTTTAATTACCTGATGAATACATATGACTCACAGCGGGTGAGACGGGTCGACAGGGGATGCTCACTCCTCCTAGGCCTCTGATTCCACACCTGAGATTTTTGGGAGTCTTTGTGTTATGCCCTGTTCACAGATTTGTATTCTTTGTAGGTTTGTTTGTTTGTTTGTTTGTTTGTAGGTTTGTTTGTTTTTTTAAGATCAATCACTGTTCCTTATCTTCACCATTTTCATTGTAAACGTACGCGAGCGTAGGACTCCCTCTTTTATTTCTTTATTAAATTAAGTTTCAGCATTCTTTTTATCTGTTTCAGTTGTCTTTCCTACTGATTGTAAGGACCTATATGATAATGGTCAGACTAATTCGGTGTATACGAAATTTATCCCTATTGTACCGCCTCACATTCAGTCAGAGTTTACTGCGATATGGAAACATTGAATGGAGGATGGACAGTATCAAGATATATCTTTAAATCTTCAAAATTGACATGGTCATTGTTATCTGGTAAATTTATGTTCAAGGGGCTAGTTAACGACAGAAAACATTTAATTGATTACAATTAATAATGATAAGATAATTTGTGCTTTCTTCTATGATTAATAACTTGTACTCTTAATATTTCACACACACTTACCATACAAACGTTTATCAGATTAATGTTTAAATAAATTATTATCTTTTAAAGGCTATCCAAAAACGAGTCCTTGGATCTGTAAGCTTTAACAGGAACTGGGAAGAATATAAGAATGGCTTTGGTGCCCCGGAACACGATTTTTGGATTGGTAAATATAAATTACATTAAAATCTAATTTTGATTAATTTCTTCATGTAGCTTATAAATAAATTTTGTACAAGTATATAAACACTGAATATCAGTTCGCAATATTCAGTTACTGTGATCTTTCAAATTCGTACATATACAGATTTAAGCAAAAAAAAAAAAAAAAGAAAAAAAAAAAGAAAAAAAAAGAAAAAAAAAAGAAAAAAATTCCTTATTTAATGACAACAAATGACGGAAATGATTACGTATAAAGTATTTTAAATATTTATCAGATATACAACAGTTTTTAAAAATGATTCTTTCTTAGGGAATTTTTTAAAGAAACCAATCAAAAAGCAATTATATTGCAGTATAATGATGAACTATTGATATTGAATATGTCATATCGCAGGAAACGAGGTTATTCATCAGTTAACCAAGGGAAACAACTCGTACCTTTACGTTTCCATCACACACCAGGATGGAAGGAGACTGTATGAGTTGTACGAACGATTCTCTGTTCTCAGTGAAACAGAAAAATATAGACTTTTTCTGGCTGGAAATGCCACGGGTACATTAGGTGAGAGAGAGAGAGAGAGAGGAAAATATATCTTTTGCATAGGTAACAGAAAAGTGAGCAATACTCTACTGAATAACAAAGGTTTGTTGATTGCAGAATACAGTCGAACTGATAAAATATATTACCATGCTTTATCAGTTTGCCTGTAAGGCCAAATTCAATATATGACATTGCTCTGATTTTCAAAATTTACAAAACTCTGAAGAAAATATAAGCTTTCATCACACCACTCTTGTTTCAGTAAAACTAATTGCCAGTAAAATGAGTTAATTCAATATGTTCCTTTATACGGTCAAACCTTCATTAGCGGACCTATATTTATAAAAGGAAATCCTAAAATGGTCATAAGAGCAGGTAGTCTCTAAAATCAGATAATCATATTTTAGCAATTTTAAACTATATGACTGAACAATAAATCGTACTACATGAACTAGTTAACTTGCTTTCCTATTCTCTGTCCTTCATCATAAGTAGTCATCTAATTCTTTGGGTAAAATATATTCAATGAAAATTCGTATGTTTTTTCTTCCTTATTGTTTTGTTTGTAGATTTAATTTTTGAAGGAAAATCCAAAAGCAAATTTGTTTTATCATTTTCACACCTCTTCACAAGTGTTAAGGATAAAATTACGTATGCAAGATTATTGATGAAAGAAAAGAACAAAACACTATTTTGGGACCAAAAATTATAGTTATATATCGCGTTCGTCAGGGATCGCTGAACACAGTTTACATATGATGAAAATATTATTTGTAGAAATATAATGGTTGCATATGACAAGAAGCTGCTCTGCCAGGTTGTCTTTACTATATTTTGGACACCCTAAGGCTTAGCACAAATACACATAAAGACAGAAAGAAAGAAAGGAAGATAGATACATAGATAGGTAGAGAGATAGATAGATGTAGTTTTGCGTTCTTTGTTAGATTTTTCAATCATATGAGTTGTTCCCCAGATGTCGCTGAAGGGTTTCAAACTTAGACTTAGAGCAACTGACAGTGAGGGTTCTTTAGGTTGCTTAATGCCTGCAGGTGACAGGAGACCTCAGTTGTTATGCTTCCATCCGAATGACCCTCAACTTCACACCAAAGAACCGAGTGCGTAACGAAGGAACAGTTTCTCCCTCCTTTTATATCGACAGGTTTCATTGTCTATTTAGGGTCTAAATTTTAAACCCCATCACCGACATCTGCTATCGTTTCATATGAGTGAAATAATTTTGCAAAGAACAACAACAATAAGTCAAACAAGCCTTTAACTCTGTAGGAGACCAGATGTTAAACACTTCGGATTCCATCTCTGATTTGTCTGGGATGTACTTCTCCACCTTGGACAGAGATAACGATGGATGGGTTGAGGGACACTGTGCTGCTGATCATGGAGGAGGGGGATGGTGGTTTAACGAATGTTACCTCGCCTTTCTCAATGGTCCCTGATTATCAGAGGAATGGAGAGCACCCTGGTTTCCAAAAGTTGTGTCAGGGGCATCTGTGAGAGAGACGATAATGATGATAAAACGTCACTAGGTACGTCACGTCTAGGTAATATCTACGTAGTCTCTACGTCCTATCTACGTAAACTGTGGGTAATATTTATAAAATCTCTCATAACATCTAATATACATCATATACTCTGTGTATATGAATGTTTTACGCAGATAATTTGTTATTATGTGATAGGTTTTTTTGTTGTTTTAATCCAAGGTACATAAATTCCTTCTTTATATTTCTGTAATTCTTGTTTTTGTTTCTCAACCGATGAGGATGAAAAAAGGGGTGAAAAACAGTCGATTCAATAAAAAAAGTTTGAAAACAGATGTCTCTGACAAGCAATGTAGATAACCTTTATATTCTATTTTTCTGATTTTGAATAAATGCTTTTATTTCAAATATTTGGAACATTTGTAATTTTTTGCAGGGGGCCGTCTACTGAATACATAGATTTTTCTTAAATTTCTATATAAAATTTACATTACAAAAGGGTGTAAATTGACAATTAAAAATATCTTTTCTTACTTTAAAACACTTCCACATGGAAAGGTTGATAATTGAATGAAAACTCGGGATGTAACAAAATCCTGTAAACAAAGAAGAAAAGTTGAAATATTAGAGATGGGATCAGGGGCCGTAGAGGGGGGAGATCCCCTGTCGATGGTAACATTTCAAAATCTCCTTCTGTTGATCAAAAATACGGAGTAATCCGTCAACATAATAAAAAAGTAATGACAACTCAGTTGATAGGAAGTATGTCAGTTAATTTAGGGACAAAGAACATATAGTATTTGCTAACAAGATAATTTTAATGGCCATTGTATTTGCGAATTGCTGCCTTTGAAGTTATGAAATTACTGAGTCTTGTAACTTCAAATTATTTGTCAGTAGTCGGCCTCGGCTTAAAAGTTGATCGTATCCACAATATTATCTTGTTTTTCTAATCAATACATCAGTCGGGCGATACACATATGTATGTATTGTGCAAGACAATATACTGTATACAGGGTTATTAATATATTCGCCCTTTCACACTTGCAAACAATTTTGCCCCATTTTAATTTCGCCCATTCACAGTTTTGTTTAAGAAATTATACTATTCCCCATCTTAAATTCGCCCACTTGTGTCTTGGGCGAAAACGGGTGCGAAACTTCCCTTGTATACAAAATACATATGCAATACACAATCATATACATATTGTAATTTACAATGAACGGGTTATGGGGATCCTACTTTTTACAACATGCTTTATTGAACATCCCTAGAAAACTGAACAAAAATATAAATAGCTATTTCATATAAGTTAAGCATAAACATGTAATTGTTTTGCTCTACTAGTCAAGAACATTCACCTATGAAGTCATATAACATGCAGAAAAGATGATAAACGCCTTTAAATGTGTAGAGTTCGTCCTTGTCAACACATAATAAAATGTAAAATCTTGTTTTATTGTTCTCCGAAAAAAGAATAAACAATAAAAATCAGATTCTTCAAATCAGCCAATTCTAAATTTTGTCCATGCTGAAAAAAAGAACATATAGTATTAACTGATGAATGAGTCAATTTAATTTTAAAAAGGATGTTTACCAGTCATTAGCGAAACAAAATTTAAAATTCATAATCATATCTCTTCCACGCAACAAACGTGTAGAGTCAAATGTTAGCTTTAATTTCTTTTCACCTGGAGAGAACTATACATAGTTTATTGTCTAACTTGCAATTTTCTCTCACAGCAATGGAGATATTGGCACCAGTATTTCGTAAAACTGTATTACGAAAATGTCAAGTTGACATCAAATTTTGCTTCAATATCACAAACCTTCTTTTTTAAAATATGAAAAATATATACTTTCTACAAGATTCAAGAAAAGCTCTATATACAAAGATTTTCCCACAAGTGATATCTTTATATCCGACTTTTACTGCAAAGTTCTGTATCTAACGGTAATCTTACACCACGCTTGTCACAGCCGTTGTACGTTAGAAGTTTTCCATAAAATGTGAAGATAACGAACAGTATTCAAGCTCAAAGTCCATTAAAACAATACAAATCGGGAGCAGAACAAAGTTGACCTCTTAAAACATCAGAGGTTGGATCAGGTGCTATGGAAGATTACGCATCTCTTCCGATCGTGTGCTCCTTGTCATAATTTTCTTACTAGCGTGTTCCTTATGAACGAATTTAAATATATAGTTTTGTGTCTAACTTACCTGTCCTTCCTCCACAATGCTGGAGACATTGGCCTACAGTTATAAATCTATTGTTGTTTCCGTCGCAGCCTCTGTAGGAAAATCTGCCACACTGATTGGTGAAACTGTTATATCCCCATCTTTCAGAAAGGAAAATGCTGTTACCTGGTTCTATTGGAATACGATATACTATTAAAAATGGATGTTGTTTGGGATAGAAATATGAAAATTATATAAAAGTGCCAACTACAACTAAGTGTGCAATATAGACACATGACAATCAATGTGAGAGGATTTTATACTGACGACTAGCAGTCTTTAATAAATTAAACTTACATTTACTAGAGTCAACCATTCATTGTGCATATTATACTTAGGGAAACCATTGTATATACATGTAATATCTATGGCAACCAATGTACTTATACATAGAATATCTATGGCAACCAATGTACTTCTACATATAATACCTACTGCATCTAATGCACTTTTGAATCCCCAATAAAAATTTACTCAAGTTAACTATAGGTTACTATAGTAAACTACTTTTGATACCTAGATTTACTATGAAACTTTACTCTAGAGCTTTTTAAAAGAGATATCAAAACTTAAAATCTCTTAAATTCAATAATAATTATAATGTAAAGGATAAGGTATGGTAACGGCTGAATTTTGCCCCTTATTTGATGTAAAAATCAGAACACATTTAAAATTGTGACAATTTGTAGTTAAGAACTTATTATGATGCTTGTTTTAAAACCAGCACTAATTTTGATTCAAAGCTTACACGGAGGCCACAAGAGGGTGCAGAAGTAGGACATTTTCCCGAATTTCCTCAATTCTGGTGGAATTTCGTCAAATTTGAGATACTTTTCACTTCGGGAAACATAGAGCACAAGCTTGCCTATCTGAGATTTTTATACATAAGATGCATCTGATACTAGTGTATGAAATATATAAATTTGGTAGATAGGCAAGCTTGTGCTCTATATTTTCTGAAACAAAATGTGCTGTAAAATTGATGAAAATATGCATAAAAATGAGAAAATTCGGATATTGACATATTTTCTGACCTTCCTGTGACCTCTGTGTATCCCATAACTAAGAACCAATACTCATTTTGTGGCAGGGGTGACAACAGGTTTCTATTGATAAACTGTTGCATCATTCTAAAAGACCCCCCAAACCAGGGGCCAAAAAGGGGTCTTAGCCTATCTTGTCCTTTGGAAATAATGTGTGAATGTACAAGTAATAGTAAAATTGCAACAAATATAAAAAATGCGTGCATGTTTAAATTGAAGAACATCAAATAGAACAATCTGAAACCCATAGTAAAAATAATTCGATTTACTATAGTAAAAACTTTGATACTATAGGAAATTATAGTAAACTATAGTTAACTAAATTATTTTTTGTTAGGGATGTAGTACTTGCGGCAACCGTTGTCCTTAAACATGTAATACTTACGGCAAAGAAAGTACTTATACATGTAATACTCACGGTAATCAATATACTTATTTATGTTATACTTAAGCAATAAAACACCTTTACATGAATACCTACCGAAACCATTGTCCTTATACATGAAAAATTATGGCAACCGATGCACTTATACAGATAATACTAACGACAACAATATATTTATACATGTAATACCTTCGGCAACCAATGTACTTAAACATGTTATACCTTCGGCTACCAAAAGTATTTATACATGTAACACTAACGACAGTGCATTATTGTACAATGAACTTGCCAAGGTTCTGCGCAATAACATCTATTGCAACCATCGGAAGCAGGAACGCCTTCTCCGACGTCGTAGAAGCAGCCATTATAAAGACAATATCCTAACATATGGGAAACAAAATTGGAACGATAAGGCATAAGTTTAAAAAATACGCTATTTCAAAAATGATATCGATGAGCAAAGCTCTGTAAGGACTCAACTGTCTTAATTAGCATATTGTCAATAGCTTTAAGTTATTTAAAACATAGCCCTAACCCTCAGGTAGGGGCTAAAACACCTGGTCAAAGTTTGACATAAAAAAACCCTCTTTTTTAAAATGTTCTTTTAAAAAAGATAAAAATTACAAATAGTGTGTAATGAATTACCGACATTAAAATGTATCGAAGAATCAAGAATGTGCAAATTTTGCTCCTGGCTGAAGACATAAGCGTATACAATATATAATGAATGTGTGACATAGGAATATATACACGTATATGGATTAAAGATGGAGATTAGAAATAGTATTAAAGCTCAAAACTCCAATCAAACAATACAAAACAAGAGCAGAGCAAACAAGGACCTTTAAAACATCAGAGGTGGGATCAGGTGCCATGAAGGAGTGTACATCCTTTGCCGACTGGTCACACCAGACGTATGCTCCTTGTTATGATTGGGAGAAAAGGAAAAACCATAGACAATTCAGTTTGTAGAAAATGACCTAACAATTAGTATATAAAAAACGTCAGTCAGCATTTGACTTAATAATAAGCTGTATTTGCTGACAAGGTCATAGTATCGACCATAGAACTTGCAAAATGATGACTTTTAACGAGAAAGTTGATATTCTTGTTTCATCGCTTTGTTTGTCATTAGCTTGACTCGTTTAAGAAATTGTTGTTTTTGCGTAGATAATGCTATTCCGTATCGAATCAACTGAGAGAAAAAAAACCCAATATGCAGGTGATGACGGTATATTGCTACATAAGTAAGGGAAGTTGACGATTGGAAAGTTGAAGTCATCATGT